AAATAAATAAATAAATGTTGGTTCCCAAATAGGGATAGCAGTGTCTAAGGCAGTAACAGCCAGAGCTGTCACGCTCTTTAGAGAAGAGTCCATTTTGCCTCATTGATTTGTAACCATGGTTCTTCCCACTCTTCCTAAACCTGCATTGAGAAGGCCGTGCCCGTTGGTCCAATGAGCCCGTGCCTCGTGAGGAGCCTTGTGGAAAGCCCTTCCATAGCATTTGGCATTGACCCCTAAGTGCCCTCTTGCCAATGGCCTTCTGCCCTTTCTTTCTCCACTTCAGTGGGCCTGGTGGGGGGTGGTGGTCAGTGAGCCAACCTCAGCCTCACCTCTGAACTTTCCTTTTCAGGTTTGAGAATGGCGGTGAATTTACCTCAGAGCTGGAGGATGGTGATGACCCAGCCGCTTATGTCACCAACCTATCCTATTACCACCTGGTCCCCTTTGAGACGGACATTTTGGACTGAGTCTCTGGTGGGCCCCCACCTTCCCCGGGCCCTTGACTGCTGGTTCTGCCCCGGCTGCAGGGGCCCCCCTGCTGCCCCAGGCCTGGGTCAGGGGGTATCTCCTCAGTGACAGTGCCCAGGAGGCCCGGGTGTCCTGCCCCTGGAGCAGCGGGGCTTTCCCCTGGTGCAGGGGCCCCCCACGGCCGCCCGGCCACCCCTAGCTCCCCACCATTCCCTCACCCGACAAGCGTGCACAACATGGCCTGGGAGGTGGTGAGGAGTTGCCACGGTCTGGACGACACGGGCAGGCAATGTGAGGTAATCCAGGATTTCCCTGGGAACCCAGATGTGTGGCTTTCATTTCTCTTTTTCATCTTCTCTCCAGAAGCTGTGGGTCTGGTGTCAGCCAAAGGGGCTCTTTACAGAAGGTTCCTTGTGGACGGCGAGGGTTGGCTACAGAGACAGGGCAAATCATTGCCGATCAGGTGCGCGTGAGCGGGGACTGAGAAGTACTGATTCTCCTCCAGAGAAAAGAGTTCCTGCCTGGCCTGCCAGCATCTCTAAAGCCCTTCAGTGGGGTAGCCATGCTGGAACCACCCCGGGCTGTGGGAGGTTCACCTCTCCTGCTGTTTACCAAGCTCTCAGTGATGTCATTGACATATTCACCTGCGGGGGGTGGGGGGGCAGGGAGACCAACAGGAAAGCACTGGCCAAGTCCCCCTTTGCCCCTTGGTGGGGGGCGGTGCGCAGGCAGGTCTGGGTTCTGTGTGCTTATCTCCTCATGGGGTCTACTAACGACCAACATTTGCTAATGTAAATAATAGTAAATTATTGAGAATCCTAATTCTTTTACACGGTCTGTTTTTTAATCTATTTTAATTAAATAAAGTGTATTACTCTACTCCTGGATTTAGGATGTTTGGTGTCTAAAGGTATGGCTCCTTTTTATTCCCCGCCGCCTCAGGGCTAGCCCCGAGCGCTCTGGTCTCATTGTTACTTAGGAAATGTGTTCTGTTCTCACCCTAGGGAATAATCTGTTCAAACTGAAAAGTGAACAGACAGCTTATGTTTTTTGATTTTTGTTTTTCTGACTTAGGGTTGCCCCCCTTCTCCATGTTCCTCTTGGCAGCCCCAGGAACCCTCCTCTGACCCGACTGCCTAGCATATGGCATTTCCATGGGATCTGCGTTTCCCTTCTGCCTTCCGGTTGTGCTCCGTTGAACGCATCCTGCTTTCAGACAGGCTGTTGGCTGGCTGATGGGGGTTGGCCAGTTGCCTTTCTTCTCTTGCGGGGTAAATTCAGTTCTTTACAAGGATAGGGCTGCTTGCCTAGCAGTTAAGATTAGAATCAATCACCGCGTTTAGTTAATCACCATCTATGTTTCAGTTGGTGATCCTCAGGATCCCTGTTCCCCAGAGGTGCTTCTCCCACGCTACCCAGCAGCTGGCCGAGCTCCTCTGCTTACTCGGACCGCATTTCCCCATCGGGGCCCAAGGTTGGCTCCACAAGCCTCTTCACTGGTTCCAGTCAGTGCACCATGAGCTTCCTCGACTAGGGGGCGGTCAGGCGTTTAGATATTTGTTCTTCTATGAAGCACATCAAAGCATTCTCTGGCTTCCTTTTTTTTTTTTTTTTTCCTGGAAAAACACAGGTAGGCTCATTCTTCTCATTCTAACATTTGAAAGAATCCAAAGTACAGGTAAATATTTCTTTAAGTGCAGTGGTCATTGGTCGCTGGCACTCAGAGTCCCTGTGGGAAGGCAGTGTGGAGTGGTGGGGACTGGAACCAACACAGGGCTTGTGCACTGTGTAAAGGAACAGTCAGCTGCACCTCCCAGGTGCAGGGCTGATCAACAGGCAGATTGTTCCAGCTGGGAGTGTGGGCCCAAAGTGGCCAGTCCTCCCAGGTTTTCAATAGAAGCTGGAAATCTGACTTTTTATGTGAAATATCCCAATTTTGAAGTGTTACCAAAAAAAACACCAGGGACAAGAAGCTTTTCCAAGTAAAAGAATGAGGAAGTTTCACCTTCTAAACCGTCAGTTCAGAGAATCAATACCAGACGAGTTCAAGTTCACGTAGGAAGTTTGCACTCTTGCCCACACATTTCTCCAGAGACTGCTTTAGAACAACCTGCCTCTCTTCTTCCCCTGTGACGTGTCCCTCGTGCTGCCCTGGTAACCAGGAGGCCCTTGGCAGCGGTGGCCTGGACACTCCCCTTTGTTACTGAATCATGTCAGAAAACTCACTAGATAGGCCCCTGCGTAGGGGTTTGCAGTTGAAACAATTTTTTGGCAAATCAAATGAAAGTCACCTACACTTCCTATTTGAAAGGAACCTTCAGCAAATGCTATTTATAGGCAGGGGGATCGTCGGCTCTTTGTGTTGTAAATAGATGCTATCTTTCATGGATGAGGTTTGCTTGAAGTGAAGATGCACAATGAGGACACGATCTAGGTCTGCCCTCTGATGAGCCTGCAGAATTGACATGCTGGGCAGTTTGCGTCCTTGCTCTGGGACAGCAGACGGGCACAAGCTACCTGGTAATTGAGTAGACTGGGGGCTCATTAATAAGCACACAGTTCTCACAGATAGAACATTCATTAACAGAAATATATGCAGGGTACTAGCAGCCAAACTGCCCTGAGCAATGTGTCCTAACCTTAGCCACTTTCTCCTCCCGGAGATCGAATGCATTCTTGGTCTTCATTTAAGAGGGCATTCTGTCAAATTACAAGCATTTTTATTGCAGGTGAAATTTCTGACCCATGTTGGGGGTGCTGAAGTACTTCCTGCAGACCAGTTTCCTACTCCAGGTGCATACTGTTTTCAAATGTAGATTTTATGATTATATGGGCATGGCAAGGCCAACAGATCAGATGACAGCCATTGAAAAGATAGTTTGGTACTCAGACCCCAAGAGGAGGGAGACACAACACCAGCAGGGCCACATGGGGAAACACCAGGGCTGATCAAGAGGCAGAGAAGGTGGGGGAGGGGGGGATGCTGTGGGCAAGAGCCTTTATTGTGATTTCTACAGAGAGGAACAGGCAAGGCAGGGTAAGCAGGTTTCGGTTGAATAAATTCAGTGGGCTCTGGGGCACAGGGCTGCCCCTACGTGTCTGATACCTGTCTTAGGGGTGATTAGGGCAGGTGGACAGTGGCCCAGAGTATGAGAGCCCATAAAGGAGGTGGTGGGTTGTGGGCTCTGCACTGGTTGGTTTGCATTTAAAGGTGGGCTCAAAGGCAAGTTGTTCACTATTTCTAGGAATTGGCTAATCCTGGGAGGTGCAGTCCCTCCAACATGAGCAAGGCCCCAAGATGTCTAAGCATCAAATACAGAAACTAGAAGATGTAGTTATTATACAAATTAATCCCTATGAGTCCTTGGTCTACAAAGGGATCTGATTTTATCCCCTGCTGATGACACAGAGGAAACTAAAAATGTGACATAACTTTATGCCTCATGCAAAAATCTTCCAACAGGTACAAGGCTCCACATAGATATAGATGTTGCTTTTTCTTAATTTGAATGGGTGACATATCCCTGTGGTGCAGAACTCAAAATGATTTAAAGGGTTTTGGACAGAAAGTATTGTTCCTATTCCTGTCCCCATCCTATCCTCCCTAACACTGATTGGTTTCTAGCACAGACTTGTAATATTTCTTTATGAAAATACCAAATAAATATGAATATACATATTTTTTAGAAGTCTGTATAACTTAGCATTCACGGTCATTAACAATGTGTCTTGAAGCACTTCAGAACTCGGTGGTCTGCTCAAATGTGATAAGTTTTACTTCTAATCAGAGTCTGAATGACTAAAGGACTTGGCAGGTATGCAGTGTATCATATCTTAGACACGCTTAACTTTATTAGATTGCTGGGCAAAGTGTTAGAATTTCTATTATTTGTTCCTGTCTGTTTTGGGGCTGGGGTGAAGATAGGGGTGGTAGGAGCTGGCAGAGGGTTGTGAATTTGCCATAAACTAAGGGCTGCTCTTGGTCTTAAGATAGTAAATCCTGAGAGCAAATTTTTCTTCTGTGGCACATTCACATTAAACAATCTTGAGACAGATGTCTAAACACCAAAATGCCTGGCCACTTATTTATTTACGATAGAAACAACTGATCCAGAAATCAGAATCCTAAGAAGTTATGGCTGGCCAGTGTATTCACTCCTGGCAAGTGGGAAAAGTGGAATAATGATCTAAAGCTTGTTCATGAATATGGAAACTAGAAGAGAGGAGATTAGTTAGATTAAATACTACTAGAAATATCATTGGTACCAAGGCTTTAGAATTCTATGGAAGGCATTTTGACACCACACAAAGTCAACGGATTAAGGTTTTTTTTTTTTTTTAAGATTTTATTTATTTATTTGACAGAGGGAAGACACAGCGAGAGAGGGAACACAAGCAGGGGGAGTGGGAGAGGGAGAAGCAGGCTTCCTGCAGAGCAGGGAGCCTGATGCGGGGCTCGATCCCAGCACCCTGGGATCATGACCAGAGCCGAAGGCAGACGCTTAACGACTGAGCCACCCAGGCGCCCCCGGATTAAGTTTTTAAAAGTGACTGTTCTGTGTTTTTTCTCATTTCTCTGTGGACAAGTGAAAATTTGTCATGGACAAGCTATGAGATTATTGGAAACCCCAACGTTGAATGAAGAGACAATAGAGATGAACTCAACAATGGAAAAACCAAGCAGTAACATCCCCAAAGTCAGGATGGCCTTGCCTATAGGCAGATGTGACTCAAATATTCAGATGAGGGTTATGGGAGGGCAGACCCTCTTCTTGGTCCTGCAGCATCCTTGCTCAGTAGGGAAACTTCTCCAGGAAGAGTTTGTTGGTGGGAGGATGGGGCACATAAGGTTTCGTCCTTTGTGTTCTTTTGGATAAAACAATTATGGCTCCCTACTGAACCAAACACTCAGAGTTGGTTGGGCTGGTCAAAATTTCTCCACCGGATGGTGACTGGTGGGCACTGAACAAGTTTACTTCTGCAGTAATTCAGACAGGTCTTACAGTCAAGTCTTGGGATCCATTCTTCTAAGGAGAATTTGCATATCTTAGTTCTAATCAATTGTTAATTTTTTAGTATAACTCACAATGGCAACCTTTTATTATTATTATTTGACTTTAGTTTTGGGGCAAGTATTGTTTGCACATGGTACAAAATTCAATATAATACAAAGTGGTGCGCCTTGATAAACAAGTTCCTGCTCATTCTTATGCCCTAGCCCTAGGGACAAACATTATAACCAGTTTCTTGGGTCCACTCCAGAAGTATATATGAATGTGTATATTTTTTTAATGTATGCACCTGGCTTTCTCACTTAATAATTTAGTTTGGAGATTCTTAGAGTTACCTCATGCTTTTTACCTATGTGCATTTATTTAGCTAAGCAACATTTTCCTTTTTCTTTTATTTCCCCGTAATACTTTCTCTGTTTCTGTTTCTTTTTTAATTTTGTAAATATGTAAACCATCCACATATTTCAAAATATTATCAGTCCATTCATCCACTCACTATTTGTTCAGAAAATACTTGTCAAGTGCCCACTGGGTACCACTGTTCTAGATTCTAGGGATAAAGCAGTGAACAATGAAGTTTATTTCTAGTGAAGGGGACTGGCAATAGACAAAATAAGTGAATTACATAGCATGTGAGATGGTAAACTGGAGGACTTGGAGAAAAATCAGCAGGGATGAAGAACTTGAGGCTGGTTGAGGGTGGTCAGGCAGGTGCACCCGCAGAGGTGAAATCTGAACAAAGATGAGGGAGCAAACCATAGGGACATCTTGGGGGAGATAAGAGGACCTGGTAGGCCATTGTTAGGTATTGGCTTTCTTGTGAGATGGAACCCCTGGGGGAGTTGGAATGGAGGAGTAATAGTATATGACATAGA